CAACCATTGTGACCGGTTAAGTTCGTGCCTGAAAGTCCTGCTTCAGCAAGAAGAGCCTGCCACCCATCAATGCTGCCTGGGTTCCGGTTGTAAGACATCTCACCGATCTCTAAAGAACATTACCGCAAGGCTGGACAAGGGGGGTTGTGGCCGGGAGGGCCTGGGCATTGGCGGCCTCTGAAGAGGTAGCGCTACATTAGTAAAGAGTTCAGTTTGCTTTCTGTTTATATTCTGGTATCTTGCCTGAATATAAACAAACAACAAATTGCACTCCTTACTAGCACTGATGATCTAGTTAGGGCAGGGGTAGGCAACCTTGGCTCTTTTATGACTCGTGGACTTCAACTCCCAGAATTCCTGAGCCGGCATGGCTCAGCTTGGAAACCTCTCCCTTTCCCCTCAGCATGGCTGGCTCAGGAATTCTGGGAGTTGAAGTCCATGAGTCATAAAAGAGCCAAGGTTGCCCACCCCTGAGTTAGGGTAACGAAACGTCTGCAAAAAAACAAGCAAGCTCAGAGAGCATTGCACCCCTGAGCTACCAATATTCTCCCTTCAATGTGACTTTCATCTTCCAAAGGTTGATTGTGTTGTATAGGTAGTCCTCATTTAAGGACAGTTCACTTAGTGGATCATTTCAAGTTATGATGGACTCCCCAAAAGGAACCTGAATGACCCGGTTCCAGAGTTCCGATGGCAGCACCCCCTCCCTTCATGGTCACATGACTGCATGTCAGTTGCTTGGCAACCATCTCACTTTTACAGTTCCACAATCACGTAATTATGATTTATAATGGGTTTTTTTGGGGGGGCAGTTTCCAGCCTTTTCGGCTCGTTTCCAGCAAAAAACGGCCATAAGAATGAATGGACTCGCTTTACGACGGCTTACATTCATTTTATGATCACTTAAAAAAAAGATCGTGAAATTGGGTTGATCACATGGGTTCCTCGACTTACGACTGTCGCGATTTATGATGGAAATACCGGGTTCCATTACAGTCATAAGTGGAGGATTACCTGTCGTCAGAATGGTAGTCTGCATTGCTACATCTAGCCAAACCTTAAGGTGTTCAGACACACAACAGTTCTTTAGAGAAAAGAAGAGTGTTTTCCTGGACATGGAAGGTCAACTGACCATTGGATTAAGCCGAAGGAAAAAAGAAATGGTGAAAATAATATAAAATATCCTAGGAAAGTATTCACTGGCTAGAAGAGTGAAGAGAAGCATTCCACATGGCAACATTGTGTTGCACAATGCCTGTTTAGATTTCAGAGCTGCAAAGAAGACCTATATTGAGGGGGGACAGTGTTAAAAAAAAAGTAAAGAGAAATGAGACATGGGGAGAAAAAAAACTGATGTTTAAATCCAGGTTTGCATGATTATTTCACGAATTGATCTTCTGCCCTTCTAGAGCAGGGAGGCTGCTGTAGAGGTGGACAAAATTTAAATGCTCAGTTTTGTACTTGGAACAGCTGGTCCATCCTTATTGTATGTATTCCACTGCTTTTCCAATTCTTTCAGGAATGTTCCAAAATCAAAACATAAGTTTGAAATAATTAATTTCAATTCAAATCGGGGGCATTTCAAGGTTGGACTATTTCCAGAATGGTCAAAACACTTCATAGAAGGTCAGACTGTAGGTAGTCCTCGACTTACGACCACAATTGAGCCCAAAATTTCTTTTGCTAAGTGAGAGAGTTAAGTGAGTTTTTCCCCATTTCACGACCTTTCTTGCCACAGTTGTTAAGTGAATCGCTGCAGTTGTTAAGTTAGTAACACGGTTGTTAAGTGAATCTGGCTTTGCTCGTCAGAAGGTCGCAAAAGGGGATCACATGACCTCGGGACAACTGCAACCATCATAAATATGAGCCAGTTGCCAAACATCTGAATTTCGATCACCTCACCACGAGGATGGTGCAACAGTCATAAGTGTGAGAAATGGTGATAAGTCATATTTTTCAGTGCCATTATAACTTCGAATGGTCACTAAATGAAAGATTGTAAGTCAAGGAGCTGGTTTCAAACATTTCAGATTCAGAATGCTTTACAACCATGGTTATTGGACCAAAAGTGTGACAAGGCTTGTAGTAGATGACAGCCATTCTCCAGGCCTGTGGCAAAATCCTTTGCTGTCTTCTGCATGAGATCCTTTCCCTTTCTCTTCTTTTGACCCTGATGTTCCCCAAATGTTTTGGATTATACTTCATGGTGCCTCACAATGAACGATGGGAGCATACACCTTATCTGTCTTGAGCTCAGAATGTTTTTTGCTTTCTAGATGTGACAGGTCCAATGCCTGACTCTTACAGCCCACAATATGTCGAAGCAGCTTGGTACTCATGGTGGGAGAGCCAGGGTTTCTTTAAACCAGAGTATGGCGTAAGTATGGGCTGGAATTCCTGTAACTTGAGATCTCTTCATGAATTACTTTGCCCAGATGGCTTGGACATTTATTACAGAGATGAGCTAAGGTTCATTAGGGCTTCCCATGAGCACCAGCCAGAACATAATGCTTTGCATGTAGGCAGTATTCTTATGTTAAATTTCAATTGAAATTGTAGGAGAAAAGCAGGCAGAGCTGGGGGGCAGAGTTAAACAAGTCATTAGCCTAGAGTCCTTACGTTCCCACAAAAGGTCTAAGCCCAACCCCTCTTAAATTCTTACCTGATGCCAAATTAGTGTTGAACTTTAGTTGACCAGATTGTGTATAGGCTTGAGTAATAAATCTTCTGAATTGCAGCTTAATGTAATGCCCTGATTCTTTGCACCCGACAGCAATTGCCCAAATGGGGATCTTAGAAATATCTATTTGTTACTGAGAATCACAGAATATATGAATCAGAGGGTTCTTTTGAGGCCATCTAATCTAAAGTCCTGATCATTATAGGGATTTCCTAAACCAGGGGTGTCAAACTGCCGGCCCACGGGCCGGTTTCATCATACCGGAGCTGCGCCCACCCCATTGCCGGCAATGACAAAAAAGTTCCAATACGTTGCACGACGTCGCGTGATGTTGCGAGTTTGACATGTTTGTCCTAAACTATTCCTGACAGCTGGTTATCTGGCCCTCATGTTAGCACTTCTAGTGTTTGTGGGCGATTCCACCACTGTACTAAGACTCTGTTCCACCACGTAGCAGTTCTTACACCTACTGCAACCTAACATTATTCAGTATATGTAGTCAGGTAGTAGAATCTTTAGTTTGGCAAGTTTTGGTCTGTTGGTGGGAAAACAGTAAAGGACTCGCTTTGGAAGAATCACCACTTGTTATTCTTGGTTCTGGGTCTGACAGAGTTATTATAATAATATACAACTAAAAGTACTTCACACCTCCCCTGGACTTTGTCTTACTTTCCTAAGGGAGGTTCTCCTCACAGTTCGGTAAACCCTGGTCTAGAAGATCCCTCTTGTCCCATCACATAGTAAAATCTTGCAAGTGTTCAGCATTCTCACATATCTCTTGTGATTCTGCCCATTTTTAATGTGCTAGTGCAGGGATAGGCAATCTTGGCTCTTTTATGACTCGTGGACTTCAACTCCCAGAATTCCTGAGCCAGCCATGCTGAGGAGAAAGAGAAAGGTTTCCAAGCTGAGCCATGCTGGCTCAGGAATTCTGGGAGTTGAAGTCCACGAGTCATAAAAGAGCCATGGTTGCCTACCCCTGTGCTAGTGTAAACATGCTTGGGATAAATGCATGCCCATCATCCAGCAAAATTTTTAAAATATAATAAAAACTCCCAAGGGCAGACTCGATGGACCTTTTCTGTTGTCCTTTTCCTTGTTTCTGTTAATGCCTGCCTCTGATCCCATGGGGTGACTTCCCTCTTGGCAAGATAATTCTCTGTTTGCAATCAATGACTGCAAAGCCAAATCTCGCCTCTAAATGACCTTTTCTTTTCTTTCCCAGCGTCACAGCATCTCTGAGCCAAACCCCAAAGGCATCTTCATGATGTGTATTCCTCCACCCAATGTTACCGGATCGCTACATCTTGGCCATGCCCTCACCAACTCCATCCAGGACTCTCTGACAAGATGGTGAGATCTCGCTGCCTTTCTGGGCGCAGCCAGTCCTCTGGGTTAATCTTGGGCCTTCTCCATCTTCTACTAGATTTTCAGGAGCTCCTCAGACTAAATATATTTTTTTCAAGCACAATTCTTGTAGGGTTCTCTTTGGTGAAATCAATCAGGATGAATAGAGGGGGTTACAAGAAGTATAGTAGCAGTACTGTTTTCTATTTACTCTTGTTCAACCTTGGCAACTTTAAGACTTGTGAACTTTAACTCTCAGAATTCCTCACCCAGCCATGCTGACTTGGGGAATTCTGGAAGTTGAAGTCCACAAGTCATTAAAGTTGCCAAGTTTGAAGACCCCTGATCTTATACAATGTACATTGATGATGAATAATTTCTGATTCTAACAATTCCTTATGATCTGGTGAGGAAGGGGGTCTTTGCTTTAAACATGGAGGAGTTTGAAGCAAGCTGTTTACAGGTAGTCCTCAACTTAACAACCGGTCATTTAAGACCAGTTGGAGTTGCAACAGCCTCAGAAAGGGCACTTTACAGCCAGTCACAGCACTTCCAGCCATCGTAAAATGTTACATTATTCCCCATCCTGCAGCCACATGACCACATTTCAGACGCTTGGCAACTGGCTCATATTTATGACAGGTGGCAGCGTCCTGTGATCACTACGCTGTGTTTTGTGACATTTTTTGCCAGCTTCCAATGTTTTTCGCCAGTTTGCAAAAAATATATATATATCACCATTTTGGAGAATGGATTTGGACTTACAACCATGTGATTAGCTAACAACTACTGTAAAAACAGTCATAAAATTATGTCTGGTCGCGTGTCTCGACTTAGAACCATCACGACTTACAACCAAAATGTTGGTCCCAGTTGGGCTCGTAAGTTGAGGACTACCTGTACATAATGCTGTATTATTATTAGTATTATTAGTATTAATTTATTTAATATATAAAATACAAAGAAAAATAGAAATAGGAAATTAAAGGAAGGAAAAGGAGAGGGGAAAAGAAGATGTGAGGTACAAGAGAAAAAGGTGTTGACGTCCAACTCTTTTTAGCACAGTACAAGATAAAAACTCTCCAGCCTCAACTCAACATAATGCTGTCCTGAATCTTTATCAGTCTGGGAACCTATTTCTAAATCCTCTTATTTTCTCTGGAATTATTTGGCCATTATTTGGCCACTGCTTCAGACAGGAAGATGGTGCAGAGAGTGGTGAGGATGGCTGAAGAGATAGATCATTGGCAATTCCCTCCCTTCCATCCAGGACGTAGCAAATAAGCGCTGCTTGAGCAGGGCCCGCAGGATTGTCTGGGACGTTACACATCCTCTTCACGACCTGTTTTCCTTGTTACCTTCTGGGAGGAGGCTCCGTGGTATCCGAAGCAGAACATCCAGATTCAGTCACAGTTTTGTGCCATACAGTATTAACCTTGTGAACTCTAAAGCTTCCTCCTTCCATTATGTATTCAAGATGGACAGTGATTAATATTTATATGTTACTTATATGTTAAGGGTGTAGGTCTCTAGATATGTTGTATATAGTATGTTTAAATGTGTGTTGTGTATGTGTACACTTTGAGAACAAGCAACTACATTTCATTTTTAATGTGTGCCATTGTGCCCACAGTAAAAAAAATGACAAAGGTTGTCTGCCTGCCTGCCTGCCTGCCTGCCTGCCTATCTAATCTATCTATCTATCTATCTATCTATCTATCTATCTATCTATCTATCTATCTATCTATCTATCTATCTATCTATCTATCTATCTATCTATCTATCTATCATCTGTCTGTCTGTCTGTCTGTCTGTCTGTCTGTCTGTCTGTCTGTCTGTCTATCTGTATGATTTGATTCCATGGGGCTGCCGATAAGGGTGCCGTGTCCAAGACCCTCGGTCTAGCGAGTTTCCTGCTCCTATGCTTGTCTTGCAGGCACAGAATGAAGGGGGAGACCACCTTGTGGAATCCTGGCTGCGACCACGCGGGCATTGCCACCCAGGTGGTGGTGGAGAAAAGGCTTTGGAAGGAGCAAGGGAAAACACGGCATGACCTCGGCCGTGAGCCGTTCATCGAGGAAGTCTGGAAATGGAAAAATGAGTGAGTCTTTTTCCTGCGTCTCTTTTTTTCAAGCATCTTTGGAAAGATGGGCAGCACACACGTTTGATAGCTGATGAGAAAAGAAAAGAAAAAAAGAAAAAAAAGAAAAGGAGGAAGGAGAGAGAGGGAGGGAGGGAGATGAGATTGATAGAGAAATAAAATAAAATTGGATCTGGAGAAATGCTTGCCCCTGTGCTACTTGATAACGATTTATGTATTACCATTATTTGTATTTTACCTAATCCTGCAATACTCAAATAGCTTTCAGGGTATGGTGTTCAAAACATCTCTAGAAACAACTCAGCATTAAAGTAGAATCTACTGCTGTCCCAATAATCTTCCTGTCCTTAGTCTGATGGAGAAGACTATCTTCGCCAGTTTCTTGGTCCCAGGACCAAATGGTAGAGACCCACCTGATCTCAGAGACTTCCTGCTCCCAGAGTGAGGGCACTGTTAGGTAGACTACCGTTCTCTGGCTCCTGACCCTCAGCATCTCATGGGTTGGCAACCAATACATCATGTCCCTGCTAGACCATGTAGAATAGATGCATATTACCTGAAAAAGACACTCACCGAAGTAACAAGGATCTGCATGGGGTTGTCCACTAGGAGCCACCCATGCCTACAATCAAAGAGAGGCAACTAGAGAAAAAAAGCTTCTTGGGTGTCCCTCTTTCCCCCTCCCATTTTGTATCGTGCATTCGGGCATGCAGTTACTTATTCAGGAAGTTATAATATCGGTCTTGTCCCTTTTCAGCGGTACTTCTCAGTCAGTACACTTCCTTTTTCTCCATTGCAGGAAAGGGGATCGGATCTACCATCAGCTGAAGAAACTGGGTTCCTCCATGGACTGGGACAGAGCTTGTTTCACTATGGACCCTGTAAGATTTTGGTCAAAGGGAAAAGGGATAATAATAATAATAATAATAATAATAATAATAATAATAATAATAATAATAATAATAATAATAATAATAATAATAGTAGTAGTAGTAGTAGTAGTAGTAGTAGTAGTAGTAGTAGTAATAGTAATAGTAATAATAATAATAAAGTTGGAAGGGACCTTGGAGGTCATCGGGTCCAACCCCCTGCTCAGGCAGGAAACCCTACACCATTTTGGACAAATGGCTGTCCAGTCTCTTCTTAAAAACTTCCAGTGTTGGAGCATTCACAACTTCTGGAGGCAGGTTGTTCCACTGGCTAATTGTTCTAACTGTCAGGAAGTTTCTCCTTAGTTCTAGGTTGCTTCTCTCCTTGATTAGTTTCCATCCGTTGCTTCTTGTCCTGCCTTCAGGCGCTTTGGAGAATAGCTTGACTCCTTCTTCTTTGTGGCAGCCCCTGAGGTATTGGGACACTGCTGTCATGTCCCCCCTCGTCTTTCTCTTCATTAGACTAGACATACCCAATTCCAGCAACCGTTCCTCATATGTTTTAGCTTCCAGTCCCCTAATCATCTTTGTTGGTAACTCTTAGAACTCCTATTAACATTATTGTTTCCATCATATATTCTTACTTGTGTAATTCTCAGTGCTCCCTGAATAGAAGATTACAGATTTAGATTACAATTTAGATTACAGATAGCCCTCGGTGTAACAGCATTCAAAGTTAGCAACAGCATTGAAAAAAAAGTACCGTAACTTATGAGTGGTCCTTGCACTTAATGACCATTGCATCATTCCCACAGTCATGTGATCAGAATTTGGTCAGTGTATGTTTACAATGTTTGCAAGTGTCCTGGAATCACGTGATCCCCATTTGCGACTTTCCCAGCTGACTTCCAAAAAGGAAAATGGAGGGGGGAACCGTATTTGCTTAATGATTCACTTAACAATTGCAGTGAGTCACTTAACATGTGTGCCCCCCCCAAAAAAGGTCATAACATTGGCTGTGACTCATTTAATAATTTCCTCACTTAGCAGCAGAAATTCTGATCCCAATTACAGTTTGTCTTGGACAGATTTTTTTTTCCCTGGGCCAGGAAAGGATTAAGGATGGAGGAGAAGAAGGAGGAGAAGAAGATCTGCTAAAAGTTTTCATCTGCTTTTTGCTGAATTTGGGAGTTGTTATAAGGGGAACAATAGGAGCGTTTTGTCAGACGGAGGAGTTGCTTGGCCATTCCCACTCTCACATAACACACCAAACAAATAAAAATTGGAAATTGGCCTTTGCTGTCAATTTTCAACAATGCCATGTTTGTGCTTTGGAAGTCACTGGAACTTCTATACCAGCACCCCCCTCCCCAACCTTTTGGGCACCAGGGACCGGTTCCATGGAGAGAGGTGTTTCCGTGGACCAGAGGGGGTGGGCGTGGTTTCGTGTGCCTCCTGCGTCCTGCGGATGGGGCTTCACTTGTTTGCGTGGCCTGGTTTCTGGCATGCCGCAGCCCGATGCTGGTCCACGGACCAGGGGTTGGGGACCTCTGTTCTAAACGGCCCGTGAATGGTGCATTGCCACCCCACAATTCAGAGAATGGAGAAGAATAATTGCCATCGTAGGGTGGAAGGGAAACCCAGCTATGGTAGCCATTTTTCAACACAACGCAAAAGCAACCCCTTTTGTCATGCGGACCACAGGAAGAGAATGGCATTTTTATGTGTTCTTGTATCGCCAACAGAAACTCTCCTATGCTGTCCAAGAAGCCTTTATCCAATTGCACGAGAAAGGGATCATCTATCGAAGCAAACGTCTGGTCAATTGGTCCTGCACTCTCAACTCGGCCATTTCTGACATAGAGGTGATTAGGATAGAGTAACCTATTTCCTGTACCAGCGTTTGGCTAAGGGACCCTTATCCGATGCAGCTTCCTGTCTCCTTCCTCCCAGGTGGACAAGAAGGAATTAACAGGCCGGACCCTCTTGCCTGTCCCGGGCTACAAAGAGAAGGTTGAGTTTGGGGTGCTGGTCTCCTTCGCTTACAAGATGGAGGACTCAGGTTTAGTATGACGTTCTTGGCAGATGGTTGAACAGTTTAGGATCTGGAGCTTGACCCTTGGTTGTCGCTGGTTATCCGTCAACCTTGTCCATTTTTTCTGATAGATGAGGAAGTGGTGGTGGCTACCACCCGTATTGAGACGATGCTGGGAGACACAGCAGTTGCAGTCCATCCCAAGGACCCCCGATACCAGGTATGAAAGGTGTAACACTGTACAGGTAGTCCTCGACTTACAAAAGTTCATTTAGTGATTGTTCGAAGTTACAACGGCA